CAGGCAGAGGGCGAAACCTTGGGCAAGTTTCCTTACTCCACACAGAGCCTAATAATAATCCCTCCAAAACCCAAAACAATAATAAATTGGTCATTTCAATCTACAACTGTTTGTGGACATTGCTGTGTGCAATTGGCTGCCGCGTTCGCCCACAAATATACAGTCAATTCACTTTACAGTGTGTTCTGTGAAGCGCTTTGGGACGTCCTCCGGACATGAAAAGCGCTATATCAAATGCAAGGATTATTATTATTAACAGTGTCACTGTTAATATCAGACTATACAGAGGTGCTCATAGTTAATATCAGACTATATAGAGCTGTCACTGTTAATATCAGACTATATAGAGGTGCTCATAGTTAATATCAGACTATACAGAGGTGCTGATAGTTAATGTAAGACTATATAGAGCTGTCACTGTTAATATCAGATGACGTAAAAAGCGCTATATCAAATGCAAGGATTATTATTATTATATAAAGGTGTCACTGTTAATATCAGACTATATTGAGGTGTAATTGTTAATATTAGAGTACATAGAGGTGCCACTGTTAATATCAGAATACATAGAGGAGTCACTGTTAATATTAGACCATATTGAAGTGCTCACTGTTAATATCAGACTATATAGAGGTGCTCACTGTTAATATCAGACTATATAGAGGTGCTCACTGTTAATATCAGACTACATAGAGGTGCTCACTGTTAATATCAGACTACATAGAGGTGCTCACTGTTAATATCAGACTATATAGAGGTGCTCACTGTTAATATCAGAAGTATATAGAGGTGCTCACTGTTAATATCAGACTATATAGAGGTGCTCACTATTAATATCAGACTATATAGAGGTGCTCACTATTAATATCAGACTATATAGAGGTGCTCACTGTTAATATCAGACTATATAGAGGTGCTCACTGTTAATATCAGACTATATAGAGGTGTCACTGTTAATATCAGACTATATAGTGGTGCTCACTGTTAATATCAGACTATATAGAGGTGCTCACTGTTAATATCAGACTATATAGAGGTGCTCACTGTTAATATCAGACTACATAGAGGTGCTCACTGTTAATATCAGACTATATAGAGGTGCTCACTGTTAATATCAGACTACATAGAGGTGCTCACTGTTAATATCAGAAGTGTAGAGGTGCTCACTGTTAATATCAGACTATATAGAGGTGTCACTGTTAATATCAGTTCATATAGAGGTGTCATTGTTATTATTAGACTATATAGAGGTGCTCACTGTTAATATCAGAAGTATAGAGGTGCTCACTGTTAATATCAGACTATATAGAGGTGCTCACTGTTAATATCAGACTATATAGAGGTGCTCACTGTTAATATCAGACTACATAGAGGTGCTCACTGTTAATATCAGTTCATATAGAGGTGTCATTGTTATTATTAGACTATATAGAGGTGCTCACTGTTAATATCAGACTACATAGAGGTGCTCACTGTTAATATCAGAAGTATAGAGGTGCTCACTGTTAATATCAGACTATATAGAGGTGCTCACTGTTAATATCAGACTATATAGAGGTGCTCACTGTTAATATCAGACTACATAGAGGTGCTCACTGTTAATATCAGACTATATAGAGGTGCTCAGTGTGTTTTGTGAAGCCCTTTAAGACGGTTGACATGAGAGGCGTTGCGTAGTATGGATATGTGTGGTGTAGGACAGCTCACAGAGTGAGATAAAAATTTGGACAATCTTGGTGGGGTGGGGGGAAGTTTGTTGTGGATGAAACAACCTCCAAAGGTATCCGCACTCTCCTCATCTCTCCATAAACCCTCAGCACTCTGTATGTGACTGTGGTGACTGTGAGTGATACATGGCCCAACTACAAACACAGCCACACTCCCCAAACTCGACAACTTACCACGATTCCAAGACTGAGGTTTTTTTTAAGGAAAAACATAATTGGGGCTAAATAGCCTCAACATCTTTAATATAAAGTTCCATTCTTGATCTTAAACCTATGAAGTAAACATGGTCACATACCAGCAACATATACACCTAGGTGGAGTAGGGGCTACGAGAGGAGACTTGTGGATGTTGGAGTGTAAATAGCGGTATGGTGGAGTGGGGATAATTGGGCTGTTTTGGTGCAGGAGAGTTTGTGTAATGTCACACACACACAGACACAGACTCACACACAGACTGACACTCACACACAGACTCACAAACAGACAGTCTCTCTCTCACACCCAGTCAGAGACTCACACACACACACTCACTCACACTCACAGACTCAAACAGACACAGTCAGACTCACATACACTCACACACAAACACACACAGACTCACACACATACATCCAGACTCACACTCTCTCACACACACACACACACAGACACAGGCGCCATTGCTCCAGAAGCAATGGTATGGTTACTCAAACTCTTCTCGCAACTGATTCCCATCAAGTGTATTTGTAGGTAAACCTGGGGCTATTTGGCACAAAGCAAGCATCCCGCAAACAGCCAGGAGGTAAGTGCGCTGTTTTAACTGGGGGGATTGTTGGCCTGGACACCGAGAGAGAGAAAGAGAGAGAGAGACAGTCCCTTCCCTTTTCCTATAGCACCGTGGGATCTTTAATGACCACCTGACAGTTCTCGGTTTAACGTCTCAGCCAAAGGACGGCAATTACGGTGGTTGGGGGGTGGGGTTAGAGCAGTACTTATGATATTAACAGCACAGGTGTATCACACAACTTGAGCGGAGACATAGATCTTAGGAACAGCCATGAATCCGTGCCTTATAGAGAAAGAAAGGTGGGTCACGGCGGAACAGAGGTAGAGAACGAGCAACAACGAACGATCGAGATGGTCAACAGGACGGACAAACACCTCACATTTTTTTTCTTCAACACGACTAAACCTTCCCTCAATTGAAGGAGGATTAATGGTAACGCACAGCTCTTAAGGCCCAGTGTGGACGGGCTCCATCTGCCTGTGGAGCTGGGGCAGATAGGGTCTGAGCATCTGAGGGGAGTACCCAGAGCGAAGAGAGGAATGAAACGAGGAGTCAAGTGAAGAGCCTGAATCTTCAGTGAGATCCTCAAAGGCCACAGTCAGATAGTTGTTGAGTGAGAGGGTCTGAGCGCCCAGGGCTGTCCTGTCTAGGGTGGTCTGTCCCAGGTAGCAGAACTCCCCTTCCCGACTGGCTTTCCCCTCACTCTCCGGCTCACACAATCCCTGTGCGGAATCCCGGCTGCTCCGCAACGCCCGCTTCTCCCAATCGCTGGGAACGTCACTCCCGGAACCATCCGTTTCCGTCCCGGAATACATCCCCTCGTCCAGTTGGCTGCTCGGCCAACGTTGAGGCCCAGCCGACGACGCGAAGACCACCCGGGCGTAGAGAGCGCCTGCCGGGCACAGTCCCCCCGATGACGTGGATGACGTTCCCAGCTCACTTCCCGAGTGGGAGTCCGGGAGCAACTCCGGCATGCTGTCCGCTCCCGAGTCTGGGGTCTCGCCACCCGAGTACCTCGCTACCTCCTCCACCACCGCCACCACGAAGACCTCGGGCTCCGCAAACAGGCCGCCCCCTCCCGGAAACCCTTTGGGATTCTTCCCGAAGAGATTCCCAAAGGTTCCGGGCTGCCACCAGAAAGAGAAAGGCAGAATTAAAATAAAAAAGCAAACAGTCCCTATATCCGATGTGGAGTCCTGCAGCTCAGTGATTAGAGCACTCGCCTCACAAGCGAGAGGATCTGGGTTTGATTCCCGGGCGGTCTGGGGAAAACCTTAGGCAAGTTTCCTTACTCCACACGCCTCTGTTCACCTAGCAGTAAGTAGGAAAGTTGTTAGTCGATTGGAAGATCGCTTTTCCACGGGTAATAATCTCTTCCAAAAAAATAATAATTTGGTCACTCAATCCACGACTGTTTGTGGGACGCGTTTCGCCCACAAAATATACAGTCAATTCACTTTACAGTATATCCTGTGAAGCGCTTTAAGACGTCTCGAAGACATGATGAGGCGTTATCAAATGCAAGGATTATTATCATAATTCTTGTTCACTCCTCCACACCCCTCTTTTTTAGATCACGTCTGAAGAACTTTCTCTTGGACGGTCCCCTCCTCCTCCCCTCGCTGCCTCCCACCGGCTCGGCATCAGGCTCTGGCACTGTTAAGCGCTCCGAGACGATGCCCCGTGGTCGGGGCGCTGTGTAAATACAAGCTGTTTTGCAATGCTTGGAGAGGTGGACCTGTAAGTGCTGTGTTTTCTCAGGTTGGTGCAGTGGCTGTGAATTGAATTGAATGAATGGGGCAACTATCAGCCACTAGGAGGTAGCACCAGCGGTTTCCAGACCCACTGTCAGTCTGTACTTTTTTTTCGGACCCCATCTGGCGGCCGTGGTCAGCATTGGGCACCACACCTCGGGAAGGATATCGTGGCCCTGGAGGAGGTGCAGCGTAGGTTCACCAGAGTTATACCAGGGCATAAAGGGTCAAATTACGAGGACAGGTTGCATAAACTTAGTCTCTATGTCCTTGAGTTTAGCAGGTTGAGGGGTGATCTGATTAAAATAATAAAGGGATTCGATAGGGTAGATACAGAGAAACTATTTCCTCTGCTGGGTGGGGGAATCCAGAACAGGGGGGGGGGGGGCATCATCTTAAAATTAGAGCCAGGCCATTTAGGAGTGAAATCAAGAGGCAGTTTGTCGCCCAAAGGGTTGTGAGAATCTGGAACTCTCTCCCCCAAAAGGCTGTGGATGTTGGATCCATTCACATTGTCAAGACTGAGGTGGATAGATAACTTGTTGGGTCAGGGTATCAAGGGATATGGGGCAGTGGTGGGTAATTGGAGTTGAGTTACAGATCAGCCAATATGTAATAGAATAGTAGAATAGGCTCAATGGGGCTGAATGGCCTCCTCCTGTTCCTATCTATACGTACAGGTGTCCACAAAGATCCTGTTACCCCCATATTTTTTTTCCGCCTACAATGCACTGACCAACAACTGAAACACGTTGACGAATGATGATAATTGTATTTCGAAGTACTTCATTGGATTCAGTACAGGCGTTTAACTGTATTTACACATCGGAGGTGTGTGTGTGTGTATCGGTTGAGTGAGATAGTGAGTGTGTGTGTGTGTGTGTGTGTCGCGCCATTATTTTCATGGCGTCCGTCACCATGTTGGGTGCCAACATCTTCTGTCACATGGATGGAGTCAGTGACGATGGCGAAATGCATCTCTGACAGCTTGTCTCGGCTCCTCCGTAGTCTCGTAGCGCTGTGTTGTGACAGGAGGGTAACAGGACACTGTGGACACCCTGTAGATTGTAAACTCTCCCAGCTGAGCCGGGCTGACACCAGCACAGGCTTGAGCTGGCTGTAAATCGTACCTTACTGAAGTCCACACCTTGAGCCCAGGAACACTTGTTGGGGTTCGGGATCTCTTGCCACATCAGCTTCTTTACTCTGTAACGTCAAAACAACGTCAGTCGCCAGTTTACCGTCCCCCGGAGAGATCGACACTGGCCCTCATGGTCTGGCTCAGTCTCACAGCCACAGCGAGGTCCACACAAAGAATAATTTATGCCCCTCACAGAGGGTAGCGTCCCAGAGCGCTTAAATAATAATCCTTGCATTTGATATAGCGCCTGATCACGTCGTTCAGGGACGTCTCAAAGTGCTTCACAGAATATACTGTAAAGTGTAGTGACTATATTTTGTGGGAGAAACACGGCAGCCAATTGAACAGTGACCAATTTATTTATTATTAGGGATTATTGCTCCCCCCTACCTCTGCGACCTTCTAACCCCCCTACCATCCTGCTCGCTCCCTCCTCCAGCAGGCTTCTTGTTCCCCTGCCTCTCTCGCCCCATTATTGGCGGGCGGGCCTTCTGCCACTCTGCCCCGGCCTCTGGAACTCCATCTCTACTGTCTCCGCAAGCCATTGATACAATCTGTTTCCTTGGCTGGTCTGTCAGTCAGAGGGCTGCCCTCACCTCTCCCGACTCCCAGGTTAGCGTACGGGCAGCGCTGACCAACACGTACCTGCGTTTAGATACCAACAATGCCCCAACCAGGACCACAACAGACAGAAAGGCCAGCGGCAACGTCACGTGCAGCCCATCTGCACCCTCCGTCTCGGTCTTCCCTACAAGAGGAAAGCAACACGGCAGCAAGTCAGGGCTCCAGTCTGTGAGAGGGTCAGCGCTCACACTGAGAGCAAGTGGCAGCCCAAAATAGGGGAGGGAAGCGGGGTGGCGGGGGGGGGAAGGAAAAAGAGACAGAGAGAGACTGAGAGAAATGGTGGAAAGAGAAAAAGAGAGGGGTTGGAGAACGAAAGAGAGAGAGACAGAGAGAAACCGAAAGAGGGAAGACAGAGGGAAAAAGAAAAAGAGAAGGGGAAAAGAGAGAGAAAAAAGAGTGGGGAGAAGTGAAAGAAGGTCCCCCCTTCTCCCGGGTCTGCCAATCACACACCCCCCACCCCCCCATCTGATCCCAAAGCTCACCGTTGATGTAGGTGTTCATCGGCCGTCCTGGGGCAGTGGGGAGTATTGGGTGGACAGTGACTCGATATTGAATCAATGGGGAGAAGTGGTCTGTAAGGAAAGAAGAGAACTCATCACTGTCAGGGGCGGAAGGCGGCCATTCAGCCCATCCAGCCTGCTCCAGGTCATGGCAGACCTCATTACAATAATCCTTGCATTTGATATAGTGTCTTATCACATCGTAGAGACGTCTCAAAGTGCTTCACAGAATATATTGTAAAGTGAAATCACTCTATATTTGTGGGTTAAACTACACAATTGCACACAACAATGTCCCACAAACAGCCGTAGATTAAGTGACCAAATTGTACTAAAAATTTTTTGAAGGGATTATTACTCCCGGAAAGCGATTCATCAATCGACTAACAACCAGGTTCCTACTTACTTCTAAGTAGGTGTGTGGAGTGAGGAAACTTGCCTAAGATTTCACTCCGGCCAGGAATCGAACCCGGATCCTCTCGCTTGCAAGGTGAGCGCGCTAACCACTAAGCTACAGGACTTCATTGAAAACCCATTTCCTCCCAAACTTCCCTCTTGTTTTTCCGAGTTAAACACCTCAACTCATTGGATTCCAGTCCAATATGTGGCCGTGTCCCACACTCTCACCACCGTAAGTGTGAGAAAACTTCTCTGGATCTCCTGTCTCCCTGGCCTAAGACATTCCCTTTGGTTTGGATTCCCCCCCCTCCACCCCCTCCACCCATGACCACCTACCATAGAGATGGACCTGGTTGATGTGGCCCGAGGTTCTCAGCCACTTCAGATGGCCCCGACACCAGGAGAGACCTTGTCCCACTCCACCACGTACTCCCATGGCCTCTCCCTGCCCTCAGCCAGGATCCATGTCACCACCGCACAGCTGCCATTCATCTGCCAGGCGTGGAGCGAGCGAAGCACATGCACTGAAGAGAGGAGAGACGTTTTATCTATTAGTTATTTTTTTGGTCAGCCGGGTGTCTGGCACACGTGGCAACCCATCACCATGCTTAAGAGTGTCCAAACCAAGCTGAGATTTCCATCCATCCCACCTACACATGGAAATCCCAGACATATATTGTTGGGATGGAATCCGCACTCTCTCCCTGGAGGGATGCATCCTGCTTACCTAATTCCGGGAAGTATTAGGCACAGGTTGGCAAGAGCCAAGGCTTTGGAGAGCCCAGGGTCTGCGTTGGGGTAACTGTGGAGTCTAACCAGCTAAAACTACACAGCTTGGCCAATGAGAGCATTGACTGGCAAGCTTTCCCACTAGGACCACTCTACCCGTTAGGTATTAACAGGAGCTGAGTGGGAGGATTCCCTATGCCCAGGTCCTGCTATTCGCCGCACAACCATTTCCATGCAGCCCCCACCCCAACCCCCCTCCCCCACTCCCCTGCCAACCCCTCCCCCAGAACAACCCCCACTCACCTTCGCCCCCGTCCGGCCACAGTGTGAGGTTATAATTGTTGGTGGACGGGCCCACGGAGTTGAAGGCAATGAGCGAGACAGTGCGGAGGTCAGGGGTCAGAGGGAAGGTATAGGTGGTCGCGGCTCCGTCCCCCACCCTCTCCAGGCGGGTGCTCCCCCACGATGACAGGCTCCTCAGGGAGAAACCCCCAACACTGCACAATGCCTCCTCCTGGGTCAGCCTCTGCCAACACACACCAAATCCCAAATAAATAAATAACCGTTGCCTTTGAGTATCACACTCCTCATTACACCATTAAAATCACTAGCAGCTTCGCAGGTGTCTTGTGTAGTGACTGTATATTTGCAGGTGAACCCAACAGGCAATTTGCGCACAGGAAATGTGAAGTAAGCAGAAAGCGACCAAAAGCGCAGTCGGAGATATACACCTTAAGATGGAAACTGAAGGAGGGGGAGATGTGAAGGGAGGGACCCAATTTCCGCACAGGAATTCAAACGCTCCGGGTGGGGGGTGGTGGGTGGTGGTGGGGGGTGGAGGCAGCAACGAAGGGCACTATATAAAAGCAAATTGTTGTTGTTGAATGTCTGATTTTATCTGTTGGCCAGAACAAGGGAGAGAGAAACTAACTCCCTTCTCTTTGTGTCTGAGCAAGAAGGGGTTCACTGTTTTCTTCGGTAAATGTAGAGGTTCCCACCTTCCAAACCAGAGTGACGTTGGTCTGGCCGCTCGCAGGGTCCGTGGTCAGGAGTCTCCAAAAATCAGGTCCCGTGGTCGGGGCTGGGACGGAAGGTTTAAGAAGAAGTTTGTAATTTGATGCCTTCAAAAAAATAATCACAGTTCATTCACAACCAGAGGCTCGGAATCCCTCAGGGTTGAGCCTCAAACGCGAGGATTATTATTATTACTATAATTAATTAAGACTGCTATCTTAATTAGGAGTCAAGACCGGACGGGATGCAGTAAGCCTCACGCAAGTCATATCAGTGAGCACGGCTCTCGTGTGTAGTAACAATATACTATAATAATATTAATAATCCTTGCATCTGATATAGCGCCCTATTCCGTGGTCGTGACGTCTCAAAGCGCTTCACGGAATATATTGTAAAGTGGAGTGACTGTGTGTTTTGTTGGGGAAACGCGGCAGCCAATTGCGCCCAGCGGTGTCCCCACAAACAGTCGTGGGTTGAGGGATCAAATCATTAATTTTTTTTAAAAAGCAATTATTACCCCCGGAAAAGCGATCCGCCAATCGACTAACAACCGGGTGCCTACTGACCACTGGGTAAACAGAGACGCGTGGAGTGAGGAAACTTGCCTAAGGTTTCGTCCTGCCCGGGAATCGAACCCGAGTCCTCTCGCTTGCGATGCGCGCACTCTAACCACTGAGCTACGGGACTCCACACGGCTGTGAGATGGAGACTGGAGCCGGACGGTGTGGGTGGAGCCGGGTTTCATTGCGGTGGTCGGGAAACCAGTGAGAGGAGCTTACCCTGGAGATCCCGGGGCTCGGTGCGGGCGGACTCGCTCCACTCGCTCCATCGTCCAGGACCCTCCGAGCGACGGCACCGGACCCCAGCCACGTACACCTCACACGGGTCAGCCAGCGCCACCATGGCAGTCCCCACTCTCACCCCCAGCCTGGCCAAGATCTGAGGGGAGAGAGAGAGAGAGAGAGAGAGAGAGAAAGAGTGAGTGAGAGAAAGAAAGAGTGAGTGAGAGAAAGAGAGAGAGAGAGAGACGTGAGAGCGTTCCTGGCTGTGAGTGGTGTAGGTGGGCGGGGGGTGTGGGTGGGGGGGTTTCTTTCGGGCTATACAGTGTGGTGGGGTGGGGGTGTACGTACCCTCCAGTGAGCGGGCTCCGAGCTGGCTGAGTAGCGGAGCTGGCAGCTCAGGGGGTACGGGGGGAGTCTCGGCTCCTGCCAGCTGACCCTCAGGAGCCCCTCGGGGACGGTCACCTCCGCGTTCACGCCGGCCGGAGGCCAAGGCTTCACTGTCAGCGAGAAATGGACATTAACACACGTCAGCACAGCTTGTAACACACAACACAACACACACACACACAGGCTAACACTCCAGGGCAGTGCTGGGAGGGGGTGTCGGGTGGTGTGGGGGGGGTGGAGGTTGGCTGTATTTGGAGACCTCCTTTGGATGAGATGTTAAACCTCACTCCCCGTCTGTGTTCTGTTCAGGTGGATGCAGTGCTATTGGGAAACGAGAGGGGAGTTTCTTTCTGGCTCCCGGTGTCCTGGCCAACAATCCCCCAAATAGAATCGTTCATTCACTCCATGGCTGTTTGCGAGACATCGCTGTGAGGGAATTGGCCACTGAGTTTGCCCACAAAATTCACAGACTCTAAACTACAGGAGTCTTGGACCGTCGTGGTCAGCGCACTCACCCTGCAAGTTGAGAGGAGTCGGGTTCGATTCCCGGGCCGGGTGAAACCTTGCACAAGGTTTTCTTACTCTGTTTAACCTAACTATAAGTAGGCTCTCAGTTGTTAGTTGATTGGACGATCGCTTTCCGAGATAATATTCCCACCTCCCCGCAAAAAAAAGTGGTCACTCAATCCGAGACTGTGTGTGAGAGACACTACTGTGCAGAAATTGGTGGCCACGTTTCACCCACAAAATACACAGTATATCCTGTGAAGCGCTCTGAGACGTCTCAATGACATGATAAGGCGCTGTATCAAATGCAAGGATTATTATTGTTGTTATTACGTTGCAGTGAATCCTGTGAGGCGCTGTGAGAGGTGCTGACAGGGTGAAATGCACTGGAATAGATGTGACCTCCCAGCACTCACCCACGTCCATCGGGATGAGGCAGGTGGGAGCGGACCTCAGTGTCTGCTCTGGCAGGTGGATCTCCAGCCACATGACGTGCGCGGAGAGCAGGTGGATGGGCCGCACGTGGCATTGCTGTTCCTCGTTCCTCCACACGCCGCACTCCTCCATCTCCCCCCTGGCCTCGCTGCCCCCCAGCTCGGCACAGTCAAAGCCTTTCCTTTTAGAGAGCGACAAGAGGGCGACACGTACAGACTGCTTTAATTGACAAGATCCGTCCTGATAAATAAAGCTCTTCGGCACATCCCATCTCAGAGTTGGGATCAGGAGGGTTGGGAGTTGGGATCAGGAAGAGTGGAGGGCAGGGAGGGTGGGGGTAGGAGGGCGGCCGAAGGCGCAGAAGGGAGCTCGGTCTAACGTTTCATTCAAAAGGACGACGTCACCGACAATGTGGTCACCCTCTACCCCCCCCAGCGCTGTGCTGGGACACCAGGCTGGACTGTGAGCTCAGAGTCCCTGATGTGGTCGGGGACTCGAACCCACAACCGGCTGACTGTGGGGCGAGGGGGGAGAGCGGGTCCGACACCCAGTGTTGAACGCGAGGTGTAGATGCAGTGGGACTGAGCTCCGGGATTCCTCACCTGTAATACCTGAGCCTGTACTCGCTCTCAGTCACTACATTCAGTGGCATAGGGCGCCACCCGCAGGTCATTCTCTGCATCTCACCGTCCGTTTCACACCAAATAGTCGTATCTTTTTTTGGGGGGGGGGTGGGGGGGGTGTGGGGGAGCGTTAAAGAGAGAAAAATGGGAACGGAGGTTATTCCAACAACAGTGTGTGTGCGTGTGTGTGGGTTGGGGCGGGGGGGTGGGGCGGGTGGGGGGTTGAGTGTTGGGGTGGGGGGGGCACGAATCTTTAAAGGAAGCTGGGTTTAATGACTCATCTGAATGACGGCGTCTCTGACAATGTCTGCCTACAAATGTACAATATTCGCCCACAAATACACGGTCAATTCACTTTACAGTGTGTTCTGTGAAGCGCTTTGGGACGTCCTCCCGACGTGAAAAGCGCTATATCAAATGCAAGGATTATTATTATTATTATTATTATTATTATTAATGTGTCGTTCCCCCAGCACAGCCCTGGAAAATCCAGTGCATGTGTGTGTGTATGTGTGAAACCCCACATCCGTGCTTTTACCCTTTATGCCTTCCCCCATCTCCCCTTCACTGCGCCTTCGGTCACCCTCCCTGCCTTCCAACCCTCCTGATCCCAACTCCCAACCCTCCTGATCCCAACTCCTCATTGTCCAGCGACTTGGAATGTCCTCCCGACGTGAAAGGTGCTGTGTAAATGCGATTTGTTGCTGCTGTGTGTGATCGTGTGTATTGTGTGAGTGTGCATAGTGAGTGTGACTGAGTGTGTGTATGAGTGTATGGGATTGTGGAGCTCAGACCCTGAGTGAGTGAGAGAGACTGAGAGAGAGTGAGTGAGAGTAAGAGTGAGTGTGAGTGAGTGAGAGTGAGTGCGAGTGTAGTGTGCATGCGGGTGGGATCTCAGACCCTGAGCGACTGTGAGTGAGTGAGTGAGTGAGTGAGTGAGTGAGTGAGTGAGAGTGAGTGAGTGTGTGAGTGAGTGAGTGAGTGAGTGAGTGAGTGAGTGAGTGAGTGAGTGAGTGAGTGAGTGAGTGAGAGTGGGAGAGTGAGTGTGAGTGAGACTGAGACTGAGAGAGTGAGAGTGAGTGAGACTGAGAGAGTGAGAGAGTGAGTGTGACTGAGACTGAGAGAGTGAGAATGAGTGAGACTGAGAGAGAGTGAGAGTGAGTCTAGTGTGTATGCGGGTGGGGTCTCAGACCCTGAGCGAGTGAGCGAGTGAGTGAGTTTGGGGTCTGGAGGAGACTCACCGACCACGAAGATCTCAGTGTAGCGGTAGTTACACCGGGTGCTGTTGGGGCAGCACTGCAGCACGTGTCCGCGCTCGCCGGGCGACGTCACCGGCAGGTCCCATAAGGTCACCCTGCTCTCGTGCTCGCTCACCAGCGTGTACTGATCTTCCGGGACCTTCTCCACCATGTTGAGCAGCCAGACCAGCCCCTCGTCCCCCGGTATCTTGTTGTAGAAAATACAGCGGACGGTGACGGTGGAACTTGGCACAGTGACCACACGCGAGGGCTGGTAGGTAACTTCTGAGGAAGGAAACGTCGGTCGTTACACACCCGGGAGGTTAGGCTCGCCAGCCCTCGCTCACCCCCGTGGCGTCCCCTAGTGTAGTGGTTAGAGCACTCGCCTCGCGAGCAAGAGGACCCGGCTTCGATTCCCGGAGAGGGCGAACCCTCAAGGATTGAAGGGATTATTACCCTCGGAAAAGCGATCCGCGAATCAACTAACAACCGGGTTCCTACTTACTGCTGGGTAAATAGAGGCGCGTGGAGTAAGGAAACTTGCCCAAGCTTTCACCCTGCCCAGGAATCAGACCCGGGTCTCTCGCTTGCGAGGCGAGTGCTCTAACCACTGAGATACAGGACTCCACACATTATTATAATCATTATAATATTTTTACCCTGGACGTCCACCTGTGTGGGGCTGCTCCAGTCGCTCCACACGCCCAGCGATGTGCGGCGGACACACCGCACTTGCACCGTGTAGCTCACCTCCACCTGGAGCTCGCTGAGTATCACTGACTCCTCCCCGACATCCAGCACCTGCCTCACAGCCACAAACAACAGCATCAATCAACAAGGGATCGAACCACTCGGCCTCTCCGGTAACAGCCGAAATCTCTCACCGCAGGTCAGAGTCCAAGTGACTCACTTTCCTGTTCTTTATATTGAAAAAAATTTGACGACTGTTTGTGGGACGCTGCTGTGCGAAATTGGCTGCTGTGTTTGGCCCACAAAATACACAGTCACTACACTTTACAGTATTTCCTGCGAAGCACTTTGAGATTACCTCGATTGACATGATAAGGCGTTACCTCAAATGCAAGGATTATTATTATGATGATATTATAAGGATTATTATTAATCCTTATAATATATAAGGTCCTTATTTCAGTGTCAGCCTGGCGCACGCTAGCATTCTCCCCCCCTCAGAAAGTTATGGGTTTAAGTCCCCACATCAAGGACTCGGAATCTCTCTCATCAGTCCTGGCCGACAATCCCCAGATAGAACTGGTGGCTCACTCCACGTAGGACATCACTGTGCACAAATTGGCTGCCTCCCACAAAACAGACAGTCACTACACTTTACACAAAATCACTTTATGTGATGAGACGTCTTCCTGATGGGAAAGATGCTGTATTCAATGCAAGTATTAATTATTATTATTATTATTATCGGTAAGAAATCCAGGCAGGTTTGAGCGCGTTACCTGCCAGGCTGCCTCGGGGGTGAGGGGGAATATCGGAGTTGGTAGCGGAGCGGGAATGGCGGGGGCTTGGGGCCGGCCCAGCCCAATCGATGAAAGCCATCTGTCGTCACTTCCCATCGCAAATCCCGCGGAGCGGAGGGCTTCACTATAACACACACACACAGGAAAGTGGTCGCGGGCCCGAAACTCTGTCAGCCTCACAGACATGTGTCACGTCAGGGGATATGCTAACAGCAACCGAAACATTGTGATACCATTACAATGTCTAATAAGTCTCAAAGAAATGATGATTTTTTTTGTCTTTTAGATGATAGGGTAGTTTTTGGTCACCCTGTACGAGAGCCGTGCACACATGTATGTAGTGAGACGCACACACGCGCACACACACACACGCACGCACACACACACACGCGCGCGCACAGAGTAACTAGGAAGTAGCGAGAGACTTGCACAACACCAATTACAACAGATTACATTTGCACAACGCCTTTTACGTCGGAAGGACATTCCAAGGCTCTGGACAGTTTAAAGGTTTGCACCCGAGCTGGGGGTTGGGATCAAGAGGAGGTGGAGGGTATGGAATGGGGGGAGAGAAAGAGAGAGAAACCCACCTACCCACCCACCCACTGCAGCCGAGCTGACGTACAACAACAGCAGCAACATTACATTTATAGAGCGCCTTTCATGTCGGGAGGACCTACCGATGTTACCGGGTGTGACCACCATCAGGGGGGAGATGAGGGAGGCTGGAGCACTTCGAGCGGTCAGCCAGACCCAGTAGATGTTGTCGGGGAGGACGGAGGGGACAAGACACTCGACCACCTCACGATGCTCACACTCACTCGTCTGAACCAATGGGTTGGAGAGATGGGACCTGCGGCAGGGAGCAATGGCACAGGCAGGTCACTCACTGCAGTTACATTGCTGAGCGACGTTAGGCCTTCTCACCCCCATTAACGTGGAGGCCGGTAGCGTAGCGGTTAATGCACTCGCCTCGCAAGCGAGAGGACATGCGTTCGATTCCCGGGTAGGGCGAAATTTTAGCCAAGTTTCCTTAGTCCACACGCCTCTGTTTACCCAGCAGTAAGTGGGAACCCGGTTGTTAGTTGATTGGTGGATTGCTTTTCCCTTCAAAAATAATAATAATAATTAAGTTGGTCACTCAATCCATGACTTTGAGGGGACGCTGCTGTGCGCAATTGGCTGTTGCTTTTCATCCACAAAATATACAGTCAATTCACTTGACAGTATATTCCGTGAAGTGCTTTGAGACGTCTCAAAGATTTGCTAAAGCGCCTTATCAAATGCGAGGATCATTATCATCACTCCTGTCTGCGAAGGCAGATATTATTTATTCAATTACGAATAAATTGATAAACAAGAATTCAGATTGGATTTGGAGTTCAGGTATAGATCAGCCATGATCTAATAGAATGGCGGAACAGGTTCGAGGGGCTGAATGGCCTCCCGTTCCTAGATAAAAGCAGCACTGAGGTCAGGAGTTAACAGGAGACAACAAAGATTTCTTTAACGCCCCCACACCTCCTCCCTCACTACCCCCCATTGCTGTGCCAGTGACTGTCTGGGTTGATGCTGCCTGACTGCGAGGGCCTTCAGCCTCTATGCCCTCACCCTTTGGAACTCCATCCACAGTCCTCGCCCCCTCCCTCGCCTCCTTCAAGGGGTCCGTCTCAAGACCCTCCTTTTCGACCGCACCTTCGGTCACCCTCCTACCCCTACCCCTGCCACCCTCCACACTTCCTGATCCCAAACCCCAACTCAGGTCCAAATCCCCCCCACTCCCCCTCCCCCCACTGCGGTGCCTTACGTCATGTCCAGCAGCTCCAGTGTGTAGGTCACGGCGCCAGCTTCACCGCTCGGCTTCAAGTTACACAGAAACAGGCTGAGGTCCGCGGCCATCCAGCAGGTCACGGTCAGGGTCAGATCTGCAAAGAAGGGACCCACATCCCGTGAAAGGCTTCAACAACAACAACAACACCAAAAACAAAAGCTTGCAGTTACACAGCGCCCCTCATGCAGGGTAGGCACCCAGAACGCTTGACAGTGGCGGAGCACGACACCAAGCCGGGGGGGGAGGAGGGGGCGAGGTGACCGCCGATGGTGGAGCGGAAGGTACGAGGGACAAGCAGGAGGCCAGAGCCAACCAAGAGATTAGATGAAGGGCTGAAAGGCCTCTGTCCTGTGAAGGACAGACCAGAGCAGTTCCTGAGAGCGCAGCTGACAGGAGCCGGAGGCTCAGTGAGGAGCAGTGGCTAGTGAAGTCTATAGCTATAGTCAAACTGACTTGATTTCCAGGATTTCTAACCACTAAAGCTACAGGACTCCAGAAGGTGGTCCCTGTTGTAGTTGAAGTCCACCTGAACCAGGGCACACATCGCTTCAACATTGGAGGGTTTCTTACTCTGCTCTTGTGGGGGGCAGAGGCTCTCAGTGTCGCTCCCGAGACAGCAGACGGAGGTGTGGGGGGAGGGGATGTCTGTGATGTTCCGGGCCGGGGTGGTCTCGCGGCTCACAGGCCACCTCGGCAGTGAGGGTCCGGGGCTCGGCTCGGGGGTCCCACGTCTGTCTCCCCCGGGAACAGCTTCCCACGGGCACGTCACCGTGAAGGGGTGCGGAGGGATCTCAAAAGGCAACACCGGCTCCTGTACAGAGACTGAAACACGGGGAAGAGAGTAAGAGAGAGAGAGGGAGAGACAGAGAAATAGGGACAGAGAGAGAGAGAGAGAGAGAAAGGGGAGAGATAAAGAGAGAGGGGGAGATTCAGACAGAGAGAGAGAGAAAGAGAGACACACACACACCGGAGAAAGTTGAAAACAATGTGATCATTATTTCTAGGACGCAAACTATTAAATAATAAAATCACTTCTTCACCTTATCGCTGTTCACGGTTTGTGTGCTAATGGGCCGCTGTGTTGGACACAGCAAGCCGGGGGGGGGGGGGGGGGACACACAGTGCGAGAGAGAAACTCCCTTTTCTCACGATGGAATCGTTTAACGTCAACCTGAACAGAGCACAGTCGGGAGCTCGATTTAACATTGTGTCCGAAGGACAACATCTCCGACACTGCAATTCCCCCCCCCCCCCCCACCCCCCCCCCCCCCCCACCCCCCCCCGGGACTCTACTCGACGAGAAGGGCGCTACATAAATGAAAATTGTTGTCGTTGCTGCGTTGGATTGCAAGCCTAGACTGTGAGCTCAGTATCCCAACATGGGATGAGGTTGGGGGTGGGGGGTGGAGGGGCGAACCCATGAACCCTCTCTCTCCATCCCCCACCCCCACCCCGAGATGAGTGAGCGAGAAAGAACACAAACGATTGAGCTACACACTGGCGCCTAAGGTTTGAAGAATTTACTGTTGATAACAGATCCGAGCAGCTGAAAGCTGACAGATGCAGCAATGCTCAGTGACAGAAATAGAGATTTGGTGGCCATGTGTTTACGAGGCTTGGCTCCCTCCGCCCCCCCCCCCTCCCCCTCCCTGTGTACCAAATACCAGCTTGGCCTCTGACCTACCGTGCCATGAGCTCACGCACAAAATCGCCAGCAGCAACATGGATGGTCTTGATATGACCTGAAACACAAATCATTAGCCGCTGATCACTATTTCACTCAAGCTCTAAAATTACATTTATTCTCAAAGTATCGACCGGACGGGAGCAGAGTGCAGCCCACGTCCCCGGGAGAGCTCTACGCATTTTACTAGCTCACTAAGACATTGTGGTTATAATATATAATAACCATTGCATCTGATACAGCGCCTCATCACATCGTTCAGACGTCTAAAGCGCTTCACAGAATATATTGTAAAGTGGAGTGACAGTATTTTGTGGGTGAAACATGACAGCCAATTGTGCACAGCAGTGTCCCACTAGCAGTCATGGATTTTTTTCCTGGTGGGATTATTACTACCGGAAAGGCGATCCGCCTATCGACTAACAACCGAGTTCCTACTTACTGCTGGGTAAAGAGAGGCGTACGGACTAAGGAAACTTGCTTAAGATCTCGCCCTGACCGGGAATCAAACCTGTATCCTCTCGCTTTTGAGGTGAGTGCGATAACCACTGGGTTACGGGAATCCACAAGGGTTTAACAAGGCAATCAGTTGAACAGAAATGAAGTACACTGTGAATTGTAGTGGCTGTGCAAAAAATTTGGAGGCAAATTCAGTGGCTAATTTGTGCACAGCAATGTCCTGCAAACAGTCACAAAGTAAACGGAACAGTTAATCGGGGAGGAATGTCAGCCTGGATACATGGAGAGAGAAACTCCAGCCTCGACTCTGAGCTCAAAGTCTCCAACTCACGGTTGAACCTACAACCTTCTGACCCAGCGACTCATGGTGTTTTTGAGACAGCTGTGGATATCAGCTCACCACAGTATTGGGCAAGTGAAGGGGGTTTAACTGCTGGAGTTTAACCAGATAACACCACAAAACTTGCCATTCCAGAGCACCAAACAGAGCGTTGTTCATCCATACCGACCTGTCCGCTCCCTCCGCTCAGCGGACTCTGACTTACTTTGTGTGTCCCCACCCTGCCGGCTCCACAGTCAAGTGGTCGAGTCTTCAGCCTCTCTGCTCCCACCCTTTGAAACTCCACCCGACAGCCCCTCGGCCTCGCTCTGACCCTCGCCTCGTTCAAGGCATGTCTCAAGACCCTCCTTTTCGACCACGCCATCAGTCATCCATCTATGCCCCCACCCTCCCTGCCCTCCACCCCTCCTGATCCCAAAGCCCAGCTCGGGTCCAAATCCCCGACTGTCCAGCGCCTTGGGACGTCCCCCTGACGCAAAAGGCGCTGTGTAAACGTAACTTGTTGCCGTTGTAGTAAAATATGATACCTGGTTTAGTTAGCATTCGTGGTTTCACCTCAAGTCCGTGAGCGAAAGTCTTGAGTCTTCAGTCGAAGCCCTCGCCACATCTGAGAGCGCGAAAGAGAGAGAGAGAGAGAGATTGGGAAATCTTGAATAAACTGGGACCAGATGGCGAATGGTGTGAAAAACATGCGTGACTCTATTGTTAAACTTCTATAACGGGCTCAGGGATCCGTACTGCCGGCTAAGTCTTAAATAACTCTCAGGTTCCGGTCTCTCAACTGTGGAACAAGTACCTGAAATAAACTGCACAGTTGCTGCCTCCTGCAATGTGGATTTCCAACGATATTTACACAACACAATCTCCCTTACTGGAAGCCGACTGCATTCCATTCTCAACGAAAAGTCAAGTCTTTCTTACTTCAACTCACCCATTAAGTGTTCACTTTAGCTTGGCTCCCACCGTCCCAAGTCACAGGAAGTGTGCGTGTGTGCGTGTGTAGGGGGAATAAAGCTTGTGTTACTACGAGGCTAACTTCATAATAAACCTCCTGTCAGATTTTCTGAGCTGAGACCAAAGCTCAAGTGGTTTTATTGTGAGCTTAGCTGGAGGGGTGCGAGCTTCAAACATCCGTGGTATGTGTCTGCTCAGACTCGGACTGTTCCTGGCACCTACTGGCTCTGTGTGTGTGTGTGTGTGAGTGTGTGTCTGCCCAGAGCAGGCAGTCGCTCTCTCTCACGCACACAGACACAGGCACACACAGACACAGAGATAGATGCACACACATATACATACACACATACACACACACAACAACAAATTATATTTGCATAACGTTTTTCACGTCTGGAGGACGTCCCAAGTCACCGAAACACACAGACACACACAGAGATATATACACACACACGCAGACACGCAAACAGACACACAGAGACGGACAGACACACACACACACACAGACGCACAGGCACACACACACACAGACACACACATTCACACACACAGAGAGGCACGGACAACAACAATAACCTGCATTTATATGGCACCCTTCACGCTGGACGGCGTCTCGGAGCGCAGAAAAACAGGCACAGACCATAGCAGGAGCAGTTAGCACAGGTATCTGCTTGGAGTAGCCATGAGGGAATGATGCTGCAGTGTGAGTGTAACCAGGGTGACGCACTGTCCCTCAGCCATGACATAAATCACACCATCCTGTCTTCATCCCTCTCACAGCTACACTCCTACATCTCCTAACAAACACATCCACACTCTGGGTCCCCCCCACCGACCCGCACCTTGGCTGGTCCCCTCTGCGCCTAATACTTCCGGAATTCGGTAAGCAGGTTACAGCCCTCCAGGGAGAGAGAGAGAGAGAGAGAGAGAGGAGACATTCCATTCGAACAACCTAACTTTGGGATTTCCATGTGTGGATGGGATGCAAGGAATTCTTAGTACAGTTTGGATTCTCTTAAGCACCGTGATAGGTTTCCACATGTGTCAGACACCCGGCTGGCCAAATAAAATCATACAATACACAACTGATAGGATGTTTCAAAGTTTTTTTTCCCCCTGTAAGTTCCCCCCTCCGCCGCTCCCCCCATCCCCCAACACTCACCTCAGCGCTCTGAGACATTGCCCTGCGTGAGGGCTGCTTTGTGAATGCAAGCTGATGTTCTTCTTGTCTTGGATTTTGCTTCAAACCCCGTTTGAGTTAATGGAATTGCACATTCCAACAGCCCTCTGTGCAATCTCCCCATGGTTTTACTCTGATGTTAATCGCTGGCTCTCAGCACAAGGGGCAATAAACTGCAGTGCACGAAATGCAACTTTGACTTTTATGACAAAAACTAATTACATTTACACAGTGCCTTCACGTCGTGAGGGACGTCCCAAGGCACTGGACAGTCAGAGGTTTGCAACCGAGCTGGGGATTGTGATCAGGAGGTGTGGAGGATAGGAGAGTGACCGAAGGCACGGTCAAAGAAGGAGGTCTTGAGATGGACCTTGAAGGAGGCAAGGGAGGGAGTGAGGTGAAGGGACTGTGGGGGTAGAGAGGCTGATGGACCGACCACCAGCGGTAGCCAAACGCCCCCAATTTACCCACTAGTTGATCACTCCATGGCTGTTTGCGGGAACGTCACTGTGCATTAATTAACTGTGTGTTCAATTGCTTTACAATATACCTTGTGAAGCGCTTTGAGACGTCCTCCCAATGTGAAAGGTGTTGTGTCAAATGTAACACAATTGTCGAGGAGGGGAGTATGGAGGAGAGAGAGACAGAGGGTCAAAATCACTCCCCCCACACATGAAGAAAAAAAAATTGGTGCAGGGAGAATGAATTCCAAGTGTTTCTAAAATCTCCCCAATTACAGATAGATTCTGCCCAGATCCACGGACGAAAAGTTACGAAAGATAGAATTAAATAATTTTTTTTAATGATGTAAAATAAGTGACTGTGTACAGGCATTGCGATAGAGCACTCGACTCTACTCCACTCCATACTCTGATCAAAACTTTCTCACCTCCTAAGTACAGCGTCTCATCTCAGATCAGCTAAACTGGGACGTGTTCATTTCAGGGTGTCTCGTGGAGATATCTGTTTCCGTGTTCCTGGGTCCAAGACACCACCAAGTGGTTTGGATGTTCAAGGCAGCTTGGAGATCCATCAACCCGGCTCCTAGCAGGAGATCGCATCTCTCTCTCTCTCTCTCTCTCTCTGAGCTCTCTCTGTTCTGTTCCCAGAGTCAAGGAGATATTTATTCAGTGACGCTCATTCACACATCCACTCCTACAGCTCACTCATTTCATGTCTGGTTGCCATCAAGAAGGAGGGAGGGAAAGGGAATAGGAAAGAGAGAGAGAAAAGAGAGAGTTGGGGGTTGGAGGTGATGACTGTAAAACAATTCTTGCATTTAATGCAGAGACACTCTTCCCAAAAGGCTTCATTAATTACTATCCAGTGTAATAATAATCCTTGTATTTGATATAGCATCTTATCACGTCATCCAGACATCTCAAAGCGATTCACAGGACATACTGTAAAGTGAATTGACTGTATTTGGTGGTCAAAACACAGCACCCAGTTGCACACAGCGGAGACTCACAAACAGTCGTAGATTGAGTAAACAGATTTTTTTTGCAGGGATTATCACCTCCGGAAAAGCAACTTGCCATTCGATTAACGACCGGATTTCTACTTACTGCTAGGCAAACAGAGGCTTGCGGAGTAAGGAAACTTGCCTGAGGTTTCGCCCGGCCCGGGAATTAAACCCAGGTCCTCTCGCTAACAAGACAAGCGCGCTAACCACTATGCTATGGGACTCCACCGAAAGTTTAGTGACTTTGAAAAGCAGCCAATTTACACACCCTGCAAAGTCCACAAACACAGCCTCTTATGTGCGTAGAGGATTGTTGCTCAGGACACCAGGAGAGCGCTGAAGATTCCAAAACACTATTGGAAAAAAAGTAGAAAGCTTCCCCTGCTCTCTCCTCATCGTGTCTGTACTGGTGCTCGCTTCCCCCACTGGAGCTCTCTGCTCTCTCTCTATTATTCTAATCTGTTTTGTCATTGCACTGAAATTTCCTATAATTTTATTTTTCCAGGTTTCAGTCCAGCACTCCCTGTCTGTCCCCTGTTACAGGAGGAATCGTCAATGGTGACAAATGATCTCTGAGCTCTACTTTATTTCCTCCTGAATTAAAGAACCGCATAAAACCTCAAAACCCCTATTATTTTAAAAGCAACCCATTATGGTGCCCTCAGCACAGCCCATCCCTTGCCTTTCCCTAGTGCACGTTAAAGTCAACTCTTGTGATGGCTTTTGGTTTGTGGATGAGTTTAGAGAAAAGGGAAGTGAGCTCTGTGTTATGTTGTTTATCTACAGCTGTCGAAAACGGGTGCTGAGTGGCAGAACTGATGGCTTTCCTTCATTAAAGACCCCCAGAGCGAGTTACAGAGGTTTAATGGATCTAAGAAGAGGGCACGATAGCTTTTAACACACACCGAGGCAAAGCTTGTTTCATGTATAAATAATACCCACTAAATTGGAGTGTGGCTGTAATTCAAATTGGATCTTTAATGTCACTTGAACAGTAGAGAGCTCCAAGAGAGCTCAAAACCCCCCAAAAAATAAAAATTGGTCATTTTCAATCCACAACTGTTTGTGGGACATTGCTGTGTGCAATTGGCTGCCGCGTTCGCCCACAAATATACAGTCAATTCACTTTACAGTGTGTTCTGTGAAGCGCTTTGGGACGTCCTCCCGACGTGAAAAGCGCTATATCAAATGTAAGGATTATTATTATTATTATTATAAGTGGGGGAGCGAGCACCAGCACAGACACGATGGGGAGAGGTCAGGGAATGGGATTTGAGGAGAAAGCTCCAGTGGGGGAGCGAGCACCAGCATAGGCAACAACAACAAAATGACATTTGTAAAGCGCCTTTCATGTCGGGAGGACATCCCAAGGGGCTGAACAGTTGAGGATCAGGACCCGAGGGTTGGGAAGGGCTGGGTAGGGATGAGAAAGGGCAGAGAGGTAGCAGGGCAGCTAAAGGCACGGTCAAAAAGTAGGGTCTTGAGTGGTGCCTTGAAGCAGGCAAGAGAGGGAACAAGGCGCAGGGATTGTGGGATGGAGTTCCAAAGAATGGAGACAGAGAGGCTGAAAGCCTGGCCACCGATGGTAGGACGGGTCGGGCGGGAGACCTGGAGCAGGCCGGAGCCTGCTGAGCAGAGGGAGTACAGGTTGATAGGGGATCAGCAAATCAGAGATGTAGGAGGTGGCGAGGCCATGGAGGGCCTTGAAAGTGAGGACGAGGATTCTGAATTCTATCTTCTGAGGGATGGGGAGCCAGTGGAGCCGGGCGAAGGTGAGGGTGATGGGTGTCATCTGCGTACATGTAGAAGCTGACCTCATGGTTGCGGATGATATCATGAAGGGGAGCATGTAGAGGTTGAAGATTTGGGGACTGAGGACAGAGCCCCGAGGAACACCACACAAAACTGTGTGGGGGCTGGAAGAGAAACCATTGGCAGAGATAAATAGGAGATGGTGTGAGAGATAAGACCTGAACCATTCAAGGACAGAACCTTGAAGATTGAGGTGAGACAAGAGGTGATGGAGGAGGACGGAGGTGGTCCACGGTATCGAAAGCAGCAGAGAGGTCGAGGGGGAACGAGGAGACAAAGGGAGCCCTGGTCACAGATGGACAAAATATTGTTTGTCACCTTGACCAGAGCAGATTCGGTGCTGTGAGCAGCATGGAAACCCAATTAGAGGGGCTTGTGTATAGAGCGGTAGGAGATGAATGAGCGAAGCTGGGAAGCAACAACTCTTTCAAGGACCTTCAAAAGAAAAGGGAGGTTGGAGATGGGCTGGTTGATAGGAGGCAGGGATGGATCCAGGGAAGGTTTTTTCATGATGGGGGTGATTGCGGTTGTTTTGGGAGGATGAGAATGGTGCCAAATGAAAGGGAGAGATTGGTGGTGTCGGAGAGTAGAGGGGCAAGGAGGTGGAGCTGGGAGGTAAGGAGAGGGATGGGGAGAGAGCAGGGGTTGGGATTAGAGTAGAGAGCTCCAGTGGGGGGAGACAGCACCAGCACATTCACAATGGGACACAATGAGATCAGGAAATGGGATCA